AAGATATCTCTTGTCACCAGGGGGAAACAAAGAAAAAGCTGGAAGCAGAGCTTGGTCAGGCCAAAAAAAGTATTCAAGAATTGAAAGACACTATGAAGAGGCCAAATATAAGAGTTCTGGGAGTCCCAGAAGGTACAGAAAGAGAAGCTGAGTTTGCAAATGTATTTAATGTAATAATCAAGAAAAGTTCCCTAATCTGGATAAAGACTTGGGAAACAAGATCTAGGAGGGGCACAGAACTCCCAACAGGCTTGATCAAAAGTGATCTTCACCAAGACATATGTTTATCAAGCTCTCTTCAATCGAACATAAGGAAAAGATCCTTAAATGTGCACGTGAAAAAAACCAATTGATACGTAAAGGAATGCCAATTAAGCTCACAGGAGGTCTCTCACAGGAAACTCTACAGGCAAGAAGAGAATGGAGTGACATATTCCAGATTCTGAAAGAAAAAGATTGTCAGCCTAGGAAAACATACCCTGCAAAGCTTTCTTTCATCTTTGAAAAGGAAATAAAATTCTTCCAGAGTAAAGAAAAGCTAAAAGAATTTGCCTCTTTCACACCTGCCCTACAAATGATACTTCAAGATGTTCTTTTGACAGAGAAGAGGAGTTCACCTACCAAAACCAAAGGCAATCGGGAAGAACATTCCAGTAAAATGACAACAGAAGACTGAATCAACGAACAACCCATTCCTAAAAAGACAGGACCAAAGTACCACCCGTATATATTTAACTCTGAATGTAAATGGCTTAAGCTTAATCAAACATCACAGATTAGTAGACTGGATTAAAAACAAAGCCCATCTATTTATTATCTGTAGGAAACACACTTCAACAAAGATTAGCAGAAACTATATTACATGGCTTTTGTTGTTTTGTGTAAGTTTCATCTCTTCAAAGCACTTTCTTCTGATTAAATCATTCAATGAGTCTTAGATCATGCAGTGGCATCATTTTCTTTAAGAAGGTTCTTGATTTTCATTTCTTCAGTTACATGTTACTCATTTCATATCATGTTGTTATGTTGTTTAACTTCTTGGTGTTGTTAATTTCTTTTGTCTCCCTGATGTTGATTTTTTTTTTTTTTGTGGCTCTTCATTTAAGGGGATGTATAACAGCTTTGTAATGGAGACGGTCATATCTAGTAACATGTCATTTAACTTCATGGCATTGTAAATTTCTATTTTTCTTTCTATTGTTGATGTTATTATGACTTTTCATTTGAGGGGATGTATAGTAGTTATGAAATGGAGACTAACATCCAGATGTGAGGATGCAGTTGATATGCATTTCTGTTTCCAGACAAAGATGGACTTAGAATGAAACTGTTTACTATATCTTGACAATAAGATTCTGACTCTCTACCATTGTCCATGACCGCAATGATGGACATATGACTGAGTATAAAAAACTATATGTTAGGTATGATATAAAGGAACTAGATGGGAGAAAGAGGCTTGGGGAGGGGATAAGGGAATATGGAATTGTATTATAAAATGATAGCAATAATAATAAAATGCAAAACAAAACAAAAAGAATCTCGATATTTACTCTTCAGATAATGATTTGTATTAGCCATTTTGTGACACAGATTCTAGATCCAATCTTTTCTTCTTTAAGCTCCAAGATAGTGATTTCACAAAATGTCTATTATTTCCAATTAACAGGGTATCACATAACAAAACCTGATGTGATCTTCAAATTGGAACAAGAATCAGTACCATGGACTGTGGAAAAATCTAAACACCAGCAGGTTCCAGGTAGGGCAATACATACTGGGAAGGGAAGTTGATATGTATCTCAGTAAATATTCACTGGAATTCATGCTGATTTTTTTTAATGTTTCTTTCAAAATCAGTATTTTATGTCATGCATGAGACAAAGGCACTCTACAGTCTCCATACACAGTTCTATTCTAACAATGCCTTTAAATGTTAAAAATTATCGACCTGAAACACAAAATGTAGAAATAAATATTGATCTTTTACATGATCCCTTCAAGACAAGAAAAACTGGAACCGTTATGTGATGTAATACATCACAAGCATTAATTTGAATTTCTGTACCAAATTTTCTGTTCTACCCCATGAACTTAAAATACAAACCCCAAGTAGTTGAAAATGGAAAAAGAAACCCTATTTATTGTATTAATGTATTAACTGAAAAAGTGTAAGACTCATTTATGTGTGTACTTCTTGAATATTAAAATCTGTTATATCTAGAATGGCAAGAAACATCATTATCTTACTTGAGCATTTGAAAAGAAATACTTAGATGTAATTCATGGATATGGTTACTCTTTTTGCTCATTTCAGATCCTTCCAGAAAGAATGAGCTGCTTGGAACTATTCAGGAAAATCAAGAAACCACTTTCAGGCAAGTTGTAATCACAAAAGTTGTGTAACTTCAAAAAGAGTTACATTGCCAAAGATGGTTAATTTAAGCTCTGGCCATAATTGAAACATGCTATGAAAGGAGATTGTATAAAAAAGAAACTAGAAATACACTTTCTTCTTTTTATTTTTTAATTTGCAGAGAAGTTTTATTTGCAGAGTTATTAGGTGAATGTAGAAAGTAGATGGAATGGAAAAGGACCAGCTTGGAATGAGCAGGAAATGGGATACCTGTTGAGTGGAAAGAAGGAGATACATGAACACTTTTCAGAAGGGTCTTGGGTTTTTAAGTGTTCCATGACTCTTCCTTGTCTGAGCAAGAACCTATGGGAAGACATTTCCCATTGGTTGTCTCTCAATCAATAGCTCCTACTGTGTAGTTTCAAATGTACCCCTCCCATTCTATGGCTGATCAGGTCTCTGATGTTGAAAGCCACATGGCTTATAGAATTGAGACAAAACAAAACAAAGGAACTGGTCTTTACTCACTTCATCTCAGGAGTGTAGAGGTGGTCATCAAAAGTCCACATGAGTTATTTCAAATGATCAAAACCAAGCAGAATACTTGTGGGGCTGCCATGAGTCAGCCCTCCTTCATTAAGGATAAACCAACATGAAACATAAGAAAGGAGCTTGGCACTTGGGTACCATGCCAGGTGGTCAGCATTCAGAATCCACCTAGGGAGTTTCCAGTCATGCAAAAAGTAGCCTCTGACAGGGACTGTCACTCCTCCACCAGATTTCTTTCAAACATGCACCAGATCCTTACTCCCAAAGGGGTAATTGAGATGATAGGAAAAGAGCAATTCATCCCCCTTGAAAAAACAACCTATTTGGAGTTTCAAACAGAGCTAGGTGGTGGACGGTGGATAAGATGGAGGGATCCATATTTATGCAGAGCCAAGTGGTATCGAGTCATTTTAAAGGCCCAGTCACACTTAAAGGAAAGCATACCAACATGGTAAATTCTTCTGCCTGCTGAGTGAAGCCACATGACTGGTATAAGAAGCCTTTTTCATGCCCTGTTTCAGGCACCAGAGAAAATGTTACCAGGAGATCTCAGTGGCTCTTTCCTCAGCTTAGTATAGGAACAGAAACTGGAACTCAGTTGCTTAGAGAAGGTTTGCTTCCAAAGTAACCAGGTGAACTTAGAAAGAAGAAGGGAAGTGGAAAGTGTGTCCCAGGAAAGATCTCAAAGATGGGGTACCTTTTGAAAAGAGAAGAAAGGACATCATAATTTATTTCCAAATGTGTTTTTTCCTAGGAAGCCTGATGAAATGTCATTTGGGAAAAAGCAAACCTCTAATGTTCCTGAGAACCAACTCCAATGTGGGGAAAATCTCAGTCAGCATGACAAGATGTACACTTGTAAGCAATCTTTTGAACACAATAGGAAAGAAAAAACTTTCAGCAGGAAGATATTCCTTAAGTGTGAGAAAATTTGTATCAATCACCCATGCAATTGCCCTATGATTGTAGGAGAAACAATTCAAATCGTCAAGAAAATGTTCCATAGCAATCCTTATGTTGGCAAGCATCAACAAACACACTCAGGAAAGAAACTCCATGAACTTTTCAAGAGTGAGAAATGTCCTATTTATAAAAGAGATTGCAAAATTAATCACATAATACAAACAGCAAAAAGTCACTATATATGTGGCTGCTGCAAACAGTCTTTTAGCTGTAATTCTAGATTTACCACCAAACAGAGAAGTGATATAGCAGAAAATTTCCATGTGTGCAATAAATGTCAAAAAAACATTTATGAGAAGTCGGAATGCACTAGAGATAAGATTCTTCCCAATGAGGAGAAACCACATGAATGTAATGACCTTGTAAAAGCCTTTAGTGCTCAATCAGGTCTCCTTACACATCAGAGAATTCACACTGGGAGAAAACCGTATAAGTGTAGTGAGTGTGGAAAAGCCTTTTGCAAACCATCAGTTCTCATTAAACATCGGAGAATCCACACAGGGGAAAAACCTTATAAGTGTAGTGAGTGTGGAAAAGCTTTTGGTCGGAAGTCACACCTAATCAGGCATCAGAGAATTCACACAGGGGAAAAACCTTATAAATGTAGTGAGTGTGGAAAAGCTTTTGGTCGGAAGTCAAACCTAATCAGGCATCAGAGAATTCACACAGGGGAAAAACCTTATGAATGTATTGAGTGTGGGAAAGCATTTTGCCAGCAGTCTGATCTCATTAAACATAAGAGAATTCACACAGGGGAAAAACCTTATAAATGTAGTGAGTGTGGAAAAGCTTTTTGCCAGCAGTCTGTTCTCATTAAACATAAGAGAATTCACACAGGGGAAAAACCTTATAAGTGTAGTGAGTGTGGAAAATCCTTTTGCTGGAATTATGGTCTCATTGTGCATCAGAGAATTCACACATGGGAAAAACCTTATAAATGTAGTGAGTGTGGAAAAGCTTTTTTCCAGCAGTCTGGTCTCATTAAACATAAGAGAATTCACACAGGGGAAAAACCTTATAAATGTAGTGAGTGTGGGAAAGCTTTTTGTCGAAAGTCATCCCAAATTACACATCAGAGAATTCACACAGGGGAAAAACCTTATAAATGTATTGAGTGTGGAAAAACTTTTTGTCAGAAGTCATACCTAATCATTCATCAGAGAATTCACACAGGGGAAAAACCTTATAAGTGTAGTGAGTGTGGAAAAGCCTTTTTCCAGCAGTCTGATCTCATTAAACATAAGAGAATTCACACAGGGGAAAAACCTTATAAATGTAGTCAGTGTGGAAAAGCTTTTTGCCAGCAGACTGGTCTCATTAAACATCAGAGAATTCACACAGGGGAAAAACCTTATAAATGTAGTGAGTGTGGAAAAGCTTTTTTCCAGCAGTCTGGTCTCATTAAACATAAGAGAATTCACACAGGGGAAAAACCTTATAAATGTAGTGAGTGTGGGAAAGCTTTTTGTCGAAAGTCATCCCAAATTACACATCAGAGAATCCACACAGGGGAAAAACTTTATAAATGTATTGAGTGTGGAAAAACTTTTTGTCAGAAGTCACACCTAATCATTCATCAGAGAATTCACACAGGGGAAAAACCTTATAAGTGTAGTGAGTGTGGAAAAGCCTTTTTCCAGCAGTCTGATCTCATTAAACATAAGAGAATTCACACAGGGGAAAAACCTTATAAATGTAGTGAGTGTGGAAAAGCTTTTTGTCGAAAGTCATCCCAAATTACACATCAGAGAATTCACACAGGGGAAAAACCTTATAAATGTATTGAGTGTGGAAAAACTTTTTGTCAGAAGTCTGGTCTCATTAATCATAAGAGAATTCACACAGGGGAAAAACCTTATAAATGTAGTGAGTGTGGGAAAGCTTTTTGTAAGAAGTCATCCCAAATTAGACATCAGAGAATCCACACAGGGGAAAAACCGTATGAATGTATTGAGTGTGGGAAAGCATTTTGCCATAAAAAAGACCTAAACAATCATCACAGAGTTCACACAAGGGAAAAACTTTTTTCAGTATGATGAGTATGGAAAATCTTTTTGCTAGCAGACAGTTATTGTATAATCTAAGTCACATGACTGACGAAGTGTTGAAAAACTCATAGAAAAAAACAATGATTGCAATAGAAATCAAAAAACTGACATGGGTTTGCAGTTCTGTAACATATCCACAGGAAGGCGTAAAAAATATCCTATTGACTAAAAGAAAAATTATTATCCTGAAGTCAATCCTCTGCAGATCTTGTGAAGTGCAGAAAAACAATGGCATGTAAACAAAAACAGTAGCTTCAACAAAGCTGCTGTCACAGTCAAATCTTATAAAATCCAAAACAGGTATTAGTAAGATTACAGATAGAACCCATTATTAAATTGCAGTAAGATGTGGAAAACACTTTGAAAATCTCAGCAATTGCCAAATAATAAACATGAGGTGTGTCACATTTTAGAACAAGGCTATGTTTTGCTAAAATATTTGAGATGGAATCTGTGCTTGATCTCATTTTGTTGTAAATAAGTTCTGCTTTCACATTTTAATTTTGAAAATAAATATTCTCCATATAACACTTGTTTTGAGTTTCATATAGAATTTATGCAGTTATCTAGAATAGCTTTTTTTATAGTGTTAATTTGCCAATATTCTATTGCAGATTAATATGAACTCAAAAATATCAATTGATGCATGTGGGAATTGTAATGCTAATCACCCTGTTTTGCAGGACTGATGTTTTGTTCAGAGCGAGGAGGGAGTCATTTGTGACTTCTGGCAAATTGGATCACTTTTCGCCCTTGTCTAATCATTATATACTTTTAGAGTTATATGCAAATGTCATAAAAATTGTTTGGCATCAAGTTTGGGGATGTGGTAATTGCCACTGGATTTTAAATATCAGCTGCCATAACTACTGCTCATGGTCACACTGATTTCATGCACAATGGCTTCCCAAAGCAAATTTCTTGCCAATGGATGCCAGCCTATGCCTAAACTCTTTCAACTATGTCGATGAACATCAGATGCAGCCCTATGGCATAGTAGGGTAAGTTTCTGGTTACCCTACTGTGGTAACCTAGGGCACCACTGGTTCATGTCCTAGCTGATTCACTTCTGATCTAACTCCTGTCTTCTGGCTTCACACCAGCTCAACTACTGTTGTTGCAATCACTTGGGATTTGAATCATTGGAATAAAGATGCCTCTCTGCTTCTGTCTTTATTATAATTCCATGTACAAATGAATTAAAAATGTTAATTTAAGTGTGGGCATCGTGACTTATGTTGAGGTAAATCAAATATTTAGTATTAAGCACATTGGCATGGTCCCATCTATGACAGCCTTGATTGTTTTTATTGCTTACTATTTTGAGGCATGACCCTATCAGGTTCCAAAATGCTGAACATCGAGTACAAGAGAGGCATCTTTTTCTGTAGAATGTATCATGTAACATATTATCAATGCCTTAAATTAGATAATGAGGTTTGTGTACTTCTGAGTGATTTCCACCAGCCTTCTTATATGAGTCCCTAGCTGTGATCCCTCTGATATTGATACTGACCGGATACTGGCCAAGGTCTTCCCTAGGAACACACTTCAGAAACTACATTGCAGTGAAATTTATTTAATGTTTTGCAGTTCCCTTTTTCAAACATTCCCAATCACTCTGATAGCATTCTAATGTCCTTTGATTTTTTTTTTTATTGCCTCCTAGGAAGGTGGAATAGAATATATGAAGGGATTTGTGAGGGTTGAGATAAAATAGTGATTATGTATTCGGGTTATAGATCCTGCTTTAATAACCATGGGTTGGAACAAGTTTCAAAAGTAATGGATCCACTTTCTGTATCTTTCCATCCCCTGTATAGGAGCAACAGAGACTTACTCTAAATCTCCCTATTTTGTCTTTTTTTCATGTGCAATTGCTGTTATCTAATTTTTCAAACTATTTCTATGTCATAAAACATTATTGGTTTTGTTCTTGAGTGTAATATTTAAGAAGGTATTAAGTAAGTTAAAAGCTAAAAAAAATTTTTTTTTTTTAATTTGGAAAGTCAGATATACAGAGAGAAGGAGAAACAGAGAGAAAGTCTTCCATTTGCTGCTTCACTCCCCACATGGCCACAACATCTGGCCAGGGCTGAGCAATGCAAAGTCCAGAGCCAGGAGCTTCTTTTGGGTCTCCTGTGAGGGTGCAGGATACCAAAGCCTTGGGCCATCCGTGGCTGCTTTTCCTGGACACAAGCAGGGAGCTGGTAGGGAAGTGGAGCAGGAGGGATACAAATTGGAACCCATATGGGATCCCAGTATGAAACACGAGGACTTTAGCCACTTGACTACTGTGCTGGGCCCATAAGATAAAAAAATCTCCCTGTTTTTTCACTTAATTCCTCCAAACATCAATAATTTTTAAAATAATTATAGATAAAACTCAATATTTTTATCTTTTCATCTTAATTTAGATATGTTGGATTATTTTTAATGTTTTATTTGAAAGACAGATTGACAGGAGGGGCAGAGACATCCTCCATCCATCAGTTCACTCTCCAGATGGCTGCCATGGCCATAGCTGATTCAGTTGAAAACAAGAAGCCCCCTCCAGCTTTCCCATGTGTGTACAGTGGCCTAAAAATTGCAGCCATCTCCTTCTTACCTAGGCCATAAGTAGGGAGTTAAACATGAAATGTAGCAGGTTGGATTCCAATTGTCATAAGATGCTGGACTGCAGGCAGAGTATTAGCGTGCTAGACCATCACTGACACTCCCTGTTTTTTTAAATGTAAAATGAAAAATCCAAAAAGAGTGGAGAGAGAAGTGTAAATGATGCCACATGCTTGAGAATGTCATAAGTATTGAATACTGAGGTATGAGAGATGTGTTCTGTCTAAATAGTAATAGGTAGTAATTTGATAAAGGAGATATACTATAGAGTAAATAAAATAGAATCAGTATAGAACAAACAACTGAAAGATTATTAGAGTGCTTTTTCAAGGTTTATGAAAGATGAATCCTACATGGAATTAGATTTACCATGATTAGAAAAAGAACATTCTTGATATTATCTAAAAATCGATTATAACCAACAAAGGCATACATCAATGAAGCTAGAATTTACATACCATAGAGTTAAGCATGTTTTCATGTTAATAGTTTATAAAAAGTTTTGTTTGTTTTCAGAATCTTTTTAAAAATTCTTTAAATGACTTTCCTAATGCATTTTTATTTGTTTTGTGTTGAATTTAATTACACCTGTTCAACATGTAATCAATTCTTACCCAGTTTTTTATCTCTGTTTCTTCTAATATATTTAAATTCTCCCAAGTAAAGAGAAGGTGTCATGTAATAGATATTTTATACAAGGATTTTCTTAGGTTTTTCAACTGTTTTATTGAGCAATGAATTTGTACATTTTTGGTTATGTTTCAAGTATTCTCTTCTATATTGAGTTTTATTTGCTTAGGGAAAGCTGAGCTCTAAAAGAGTTGTAAAATCATTCAATTATTTTACCTTAAATCTGTGATTAAACTGATCCATAGGATAAGCATTTTAAATGAAATAAATTGTTATGCATATTTTGTTGAAAAGTAGCCCAAATGAGGTAACATAGTCAAGTTTATGCCAGAAACTATTTTTAAGGTCAGTGAGTAAATATGTACTAAATGTGTACTGCTCACTCATATAAGCACTCAGACATATAAAGAATGCTTTAGAACTTGACTAATTTTTTTTCTGCAAGTTTGGTTAAAATTTGATGAGATCAGAGAAATAACATTCAAGGTTACAGTAGGCAGAGAGGAAAATGCACAAGAAAGATGTCTTTACTTTTATCTTGTACCCACAGTGACAGAGAGTGACCCTCTCCATTGCCTGGCTTCTCATGAGCCTGGGAAGGGCAGTGGTTACATGAAACCACTCTCCAATCCCAGATGAGTGTGAGTACCGGAGACCAGCTCCAACTGACTTAAGAGCTTGTAAAGGATGCATGGATCAATGAGACAATAAAAAGAGATGAGATGTGGACCACTATGGTGTGATGCTCATAATGGACAACTCAGAAAAGTTGCCTTCTTTGTTTATACACAAATCATCACAAGCTTTTGCATAACATGCCATTGTTTTATTTTAACTTTATTGTAAAAGAATGATTATAAAATCAATCCTAAAAGCCTTATCATTATTTTACTTCAGAGAAAATATTTTCAGCAAGCTAGTACTCATTCAAACCCTCACTGACCTGGCTAAAGCCAGGAACTCCACGGTGGCAGCACATACGGTTACATAGTGACAAGTGGTTTACTTATATTCAAAATCAATTTTCACTAAACACAAACTAACTAATATTGCTTAAAATATCAAGAGTACAGAGTTAAAAGATCATAAATGAAAGAAATTTATAAAAGCATATAACATATATTCTTTTTCATTGATGTTGTTAGGCTGCTTCCTGACGTTTTTTTCTTTGCCTTTTTTTTTTTATTGTTTCCTTCGTATATCTGATGTAAAATGGGACTTTAAGGGAGAAGCCCCACCCAATCTTCCACCCTTCCCAGGTCCTGGATATAGGGCATGCTCCGAGGGTCGTGCTCAAGTGGTTTTGATAGTTCAACAGTTCTGAATTGCTGCCAATCTTGCCACTCCAAGCATGATGAGGTCGTGGAAGAATCCATTGACTGACATAGTCCATCATAGAATCTCAATTTGCCCAGTTTTTCATTGCCAACATATAGCTG